GGGCGAGGGTTCTCGTGTTCGGGCGAATCCAGGTCTCCCTGGTCTACCTTACGGTGAGCAAGGAAGAAAACACTGTCAGATAAGATGCTATTGAATCGTTGAAAAAACTCCTACGAGGCTCACGTGTTTTGGATTCGACCGTTAGCACACAGTTAGATGATACTTTGCCTCTATCGCCATAGAAATCACAAGCTATCAGGCTGGCATTCAATTATTTCATGTTGAGTGAATTAGAAGCTTCAGTCAACGTTGAGATTGTGAAAACATTTGTGGAAAATTAGTTTGCGGGTGGTGAATTTCAACAGCTCAGTGAATGTTGCCAATTCACTTTGGAGGGTATGCGTTCGGAAAGTGTTACGCTCGACTGTGGTGTGCCTGTAGGAGACGCTTCTCTAGCTCAGCGAAATCTACAGGTACTGAAGATAACGAAGCACGGCATGAAGCTTTCGTGGGAAGCACCGATGGATGATGGTTGTCAGATGGCCTTCTTCTTGGCTAGTCACGTTACCACCGTGCAACTTCATATGGCATCATTTACAGTTAAGAACAATATTGTAGCTGATCATCCTTTTATCAGACCAGACAGAATTTCGTCTGGAAATGATTTTGCCGATGTTTATCTGACAACTCCTTATTTTTTCACCCCGCGAAGCAGAACTAGGGTCCCCTTGTTGTTGTACGTCGTATGCTCAGATTTCTAGAAGGTAACATACGGTTGGCCTTCAAAACCTGGTTGCTGGCCACATGAAGCGCTTCCGCACACTGGTGAAACAACAGCGCATGTTGAAATAGATACAGCAAGAAGGAAGTACGCATATGGGAGGGAGACTCAAACCTGTCCCCGTGTTAACCTGACCGAGTACGAGCAGCCGCACATGGTGATACACTTCAAATGAATTGATGGTGCTTTACACGTAAGCCTTAGTTATACGCCTCTAGAACTGGGATCAGGGCAACTCCTAGACAATAGACTTGTCCCGCAGTTGGTAAGTGTTAGACGATTTCACCCACGATGTCTGTATCTTTTTGTCACTAACTAAACACGTCGTGACTGGATCATTTTTGCATCTAACTTCTTGGCATTGAAGGCCGTTTCTCACATTCGCTTTCCACAACCAATAAAAATCCAGCTATGATCAGTATATGATCAGCATTATCACAGGATGTAAGTAAATTCATGTCCGATTGTGCTTCTGTCTCAATGAGCTCATTAAGTTTCGCTGAATGCGAGCAG